GGGGGTTCAACCTATTATTGATCGCAAGATCCTCAGTGGGTTCTGTCATTGCCTCCCTTCACCCTGGAGACTTTCTGGTGGCAGTGGACATCAAAGATGCATATTTGCACATCCCCATTTTTCCTGCCCATAAATTCTATCAGTGTTTTCCTGTGGACTTTTTTGAGGGAAATCAAACTGTTGGGTGGGGGCCTTTCTGCATCAGAGATATTTTCTTGCCTCAACTGATATCTTAAATGCTTACCTTGTTATCCTGACCACCAACGCCTTCTGCAATTTACAGTGGGGAAAAGCCATTACCAATTTTTGACCCTTCTTTTTGGCCTGACCTCAACTTTTCTGTTTTTTTTAATAAGGTGCCAGCTCCTGCCTTGTCCCTTTTGTGTCTTTGTAGTATCGCTGTTGTAGATATCCTCCATGACCTACTAATCTAAGCTTTATCATAGCAGGCTAATGAAGGAAAGGGGGGAGGAGTCCGTGACGTCATCTGACTCCTCCCCCTCTTCCCTTCGTTAGCCGATGGAGCCACTTGGGGAAGGGTGGAGGAGTACCCCCTTCCCCAAGTGGTGAGCCGGCCCACCCCATTGAAGAAACACATTTTTAACTACTTGATCCATTCTACATTTTGGCCAGTTTCTACCCTAAACAGTAGTGTTCTAGTCGTACAAGCACTCCTGGGTATGAAAAGCAGACATTTCATTGGCCTATACACATACAGCACAGCAATGAAGTAATAAAAATGAACTAGGATCACAATAATCCAGCACGTTATTATTCTGAGTTGCCCCAACTCAAGCGGCGGCCATATTGAGTGGGGCACGTGAGATTAATAACGTGCTGGATTATTGTGATCCTAGTTCATTTTATTACTTCATTGCTGTGCTGCATGTGTATAGGCCAATGTAGTTGGATCTGTATGTGCGTTATAATTAATCGATTAAATTTTTTTCCGATTAATCGAACACGAAAATTTTAATCATTACCAGCCCTATTAAATTGAACCAGGATTTATGATTCTACTTTGTGTGTGCTGGTGGTTATCTGATCTACACTTTGGCTACAGGAGAAACACTTCCAAAAATGACTGTAGGCCCTGTTCACACTTGCAGCGCATGTGAGCAGTGTCGCATGTGTGCATTTTGCTGTGTCAGCACATTCATTTAAATGCGCTATCCTATGCAAAGTAAACAAGCTCATGCAGCAGTTTGAGCTGCAAGCTTAATGCGTCTCTGACGTGTTTTCTGTGTGGGCAAAGACATGCATTTTGGGTGTCATTGAGGCCAGGTTCACAACTAGGCGATTCAGATGCCGAGCTGGTTTCCATCGCGCAACTGTTCATTGTAAACCGCAAAATTGTCACAGGTTTTTCAATGCAGAGATGTCTATGGGACCCAAAACGCACGAAAACCGCCCAAAAATAGCTCCTGCACCTGGTTGCGCATCAAACCGCAAAGGTGTGAGCCACCTCCATTGAATTCAATGTGAAGCTGTGTTTTGCACGATAAATCGTCTAGGTGTGCACCAGCCCTAACAAGTAATGACACTGGAAGCGCATCACAAATTTCAACGCAAGCCAATATGCAGGCATTGACACATGCTCACACGCACAGCAAGTGTGACCAGAGCCTCAAATACACGTATGCTTCACATACACGCTGCAACGCCTGAGGAACAGCGTTTTTACAGCAGCGTTTGCATTCTGACACCTATTTCTCAGTAATGATAGCGCCGCAAACTACACAAAACTTTAGTATGGTGAACCTACACACCGAGAGAAGTTACTGAACCGAACGATATCAACTTTTTTTAAAATCCGTCAAGGCTTCATCGAAGCAAGCCCGCTCATTCACCACAGCTCACTAAAGCACCCTCACCCCAATACACCCCGCCAACCGCCCTCCCTCCGGGGTTTCCCGACCGCCTGGGGACACGTGACCGCACGTCACGCCCCCTTAGCCGGCTTTCTGAACGCCGTGTGTATCCGCTGCATGTCACGATATAAGGATGAGCAGTAACTCGGACGTTCCGCGGGACGTTGTCCTTCTTCTCAGAGGTGACTGGACACTTCCGCTGCTAGCTCATAGGAGTCATTTTATGAATAGTTATTATTATTTTGTTCTTATTTTATAATCGGTGTCAGGGTAAACTAGGAATGTTTGACATCTTCAGTGTGTTAGAAAGTTACATTTTATGTTTGTTATCAATGGCTCTCTATAAAAGAGGTTGTCAGAGTGCGCTGGGCATTGCGATACTGCAGCAGGTGGCAGAATACATCGAGTGATTAAGATGCCACCACTTATTCTACATGTTGTTTAATGAGAGCTTCATGTGTCGCATGGTGGAGGAGCTGCTCCAGTTCCTAATGCACTTACTCTAGTGTGTGCCAAATGTTTGGTGCAAATCTGAGGTAACCTGCTAGGATCATTCTAGATTTTCTTCTCCCTGCGTTGCTGCACTTTGCTGGTCGTCCATACACCCCCCCCTTTTCCCTGCGTTGCTTCCCCTCTCTTCCTGCACCTTGCTGGTTGTCCATGCACTCCCCCCTCTTTTCTCCCTGTGTTTCTGCACCTTGCTGGTTGTCCATACACCTCCCCCTTTTCTCTCCTCTCCTCTCCTTCTTGCATTGCTTACCCCTGCTGGTCATCCATACAAATCCCCCCTCCTCTCCTTAATTGCTGCAACTTGCTGGTTGTCCATACACATCCTCCTCTCCTTCTTGCATTGCTGCACCTCACTGGTTGTCCATATACCTCTCCCTCACCTTTCCTTGCGTTCTGCACCCCGCTGGTTGTCCGTATACATTTCCCTCTCCTTCTTGCATTGCTGCACCTCACTGGTTGTCCATATACCTCTCCCTCACCTTTCCTTGCGTTCTGCACCCCGCTGGTTGTCCGTATACATTTCCCTCTCCTTCTTGCATTGCTGCACCTCACTGGTTGTCCATATACCTCTCCCTCACCTTTCCTTGCGTTCTGCACCCCGCTGGTTGTCCGTATACATTTCCCTCTCCTTCTTGCATTGCTGCACCTTGAGGGTCGTCCATACACATCCCCCTCTTTCTTGCATTGGTTGTCCATACAGATCCCCCTCTCCTCGCGTTGCTGCACCTCGCTGGTCGCCCATACACATCCTCCTCTCCTTGCATTGCTGCACCTCATTGGTCCTCCATACACATCCTCCTCTCCTTTCCTTCCTTCAGTGCTGATTGTTGATGTCCCCCCTCCTCACTACAGTGTACACCACTCTGGTAATGATTAATATTTTAGAACTGTTTCTAAATGAGAACATTGGCGCAAGTGCTTTAATATTTTGGCACATGCGATCAGACATTTAGGGCTCGTTCACACTAGCCCGCACGCTAAAGCGCTGAGTGAGGTCAGTCGGCGGTCGGTGTGGTATGCAGTTTTAACACATTACACTTCACTGTTTTAACTTTATTTTGAGTGTACAAATTGTACACTCCATTCAGGTCTCTGGAAAGCATTGAGACATGCAGAGTTGCAGTGCAATCCAGTGGGCTGTGAAAAAATGCAGCATGTATGCATTTTGTGCACCGCACATCACACCTGCATTGTGGTTTGAGTGGGGCACATAGGAAACAATTGTTTTCTTTGTCCTAGCAGTGACTGACGTTGATCAGCTGCTGAAAAAGTCACCTAGCACTTTAACTTGATTTGCTATGGCTGGTGCAACACGACCTAGAACTTGTCTTATAACCTTACCTTTATGCACAGGAAATGCTCAAAAATGTATACCACAACACCAACGTATTTCCTTTTCTTTATTCTCCCTTTGTATTTATTAACTGTTTTGTGGTAAAGGTTTAAAGACTGCTGCAGTTTGATATTTCAGCTTGCTCATGGTCTTTTCACGTGATCAGGTTGGAACGTAGCACCTATTTTTTTTTTTTTAGTTTTGGATAGAGTGGAGAGGGATTAGAACACCTGTGTGACTGTTAGTGAGAGTCATCCTTCTATTTGTCCTGGTGACCGTTGTCACGGAAAGTGAAATAAAATCCCAAATTTTGTGTGGTCAATAGGAACAGGAATAGATGGGCAAATCTTCCAGTGGGCACAGGGATTTCCATCTCTTTGGAGGGAATGTTTCTCACTTCCTGTTGTGGCTATTGGAGAGTATGTGAAGGGAAATTTCCCCAATGAGACACAGATGCCCCCAAAAATGTAACACAGATTATAACCCTCCCTTAAGGTGCCCATACACTGCACGATTATCGTACGATAATCGTATGCGATCGTGTTTTCGTACGATAATCGAGCAGTGTGAACGGAGACGTGCGACCGTTTCTACTGTACGGTCGCACGTCTTCTGTCGAACCAGCATGTTCGAAAACCAGCCGGGAATCGTACGATTCTCGGCTGGTTAGAACGGTGCTCGGAAGATAAATGCTGAACGGGCCGGTGTGCGCACGCGCACACTGCCCGTTCAGCATTGCGGTCATCGGAAGCCCGCCCCTCAGGAGGGCGGGCTTGCGATGATCGAGAGTGCGATCCGCCTGTCCAAGATAGGCAGATCGTACGTTTTTTTAATCCCTTTACAACCATCGCAAGACTAAAGTCTTGCGATGGTTGTAGAGTGTATGGCCACCTTTACTCTATGGCTTCAGTTCTACTTTAATATGCCGAAAGGCAAAAGCTACAAATCGCCTGATCTGACCTGATTCCTACTGATTGTATGTACAAAAATACATAACATAGATCAGACATGTTTTTCTTGTGGTTCCGTTCCTCTCTACGGAACATGCTGCAAACTGCAGCAAAGATGTAGTAAGCTTTTCTCCTACTTGTCTGTATACGGTAGATCACCTATCCAGTTTGCTATGTCTTCAGTGGTTATAATGAGCTATCCACTTAAGTTGCAGAACATGATTAATAAGATCCCCATAAATAGCTTTAAATCAGATTAGTATAAAAGATGGCTTCCAGCACAGAGCGTGCGTGATTGATCACACTCAAAGCTTACACCATGAATATGCTTCGCAAGCTCGGCTGTTGCACTAATACTTGCATAGATTATAGTGCTACTAATTTGTCAGTTAGTCCTAAAAATGCTAATCTTTTAATTCTAGCTAAACAGAGGATAAGAGAAGCACATTTATTCCTTTTGTAATGGCATTTAAATGCATGTTATCTAGTAGTGATCCAGCTAGAATGTTATGTGTTTGACTTGTAGATGCAGAGACTGTTCTGTCTGAATTTCTTCAGTATGAGAATGTGAGCACCAGAGCAAGAGAACTCGGAGAGGAAATACTGCGTGGTTTTAGGCTGGTTCGAAATAGGTATGGTTATTTTTTTTTTTTTTTAGAAGCTGTGTATGTCAGCTGTTTGTTACTTTACAAAAGACTTACAGTCGCATACATGTTATGCTCACTGAACAGTTTTTATTCCCTTGTGCTGTATTAAAACCATGCCATTCACCACATGTACAGTTCATGCATTTTTTTTTAAGTAGCTCACTCCTGCATTGTCTTTGAAGACAATATTATCTATTGCACAACAACAGAATAGCCGGTAAGTACAACTATAAATTGTTCCATTACCAGCGCCTAGGATATAAAAATAAAAATACGCTTCTGACTGATGTCTTTCCAAATCTATGAGGTAGGAATGGGTAATGATCATTTTCACACTTTTAAATACTCCTCAAGGAAGTTCTAATCATTGACATCTACCGTATTTTTCGCTCCATAAGACGCACTTTCCCCCCCCCAAAAGGCGGGGGAAAATGTCTGTGCATCTTATGGAGCGAATCTCTATTGCGAGTAGTTTTTTTGTACATTGAGCCCTGCTTAAGCAGAGCTAAATGTACAGTGGGAGCTGCTCCTCGTTTAATAGAAGTGATCTATTCAGATCAAGAGGTTTTCGCGGTCCCCCGCTCCTCTGGGGGACCCGTGACCATGGGATACAAGCTCACCATAGAGCTCCTAGAGCAGACGAAGAACATCTGTTCTTCGCCTGCTCTGTGTGATCACTGAGACCGTGGCGCTGTAATCACAGCGCCACCTGTTTCAGCAGTCACTAACTGCAGCTTCTGTCACAGAACCTGCCTGCGCCCTATGGTCCGGTGCGCCGTATGGAGCGCAAAATAGGTACTTTGACTTACAACCCAAGGAAAAGAGCATCCTGGACCTGAGGAAGGAATCCGAGCCATACTCAAGGTTACCATGGCCGCCTGAGCATGGTGTGTGTTTACATGGAAATAAGAACCCTGAGAAGCCCTCAAGATGAATGATTTCTTCTATCTTCCAATCAAGTGGTTGCAAACGGGGGTGCTCAAGTTTGCACCAGATAGTGGACCGAGTGGTCTGCAACCATTACACCAAAGCCTTGCTTGTTGAGATGTAACACCTACATGCCAGTCTGGTTGACCCTGCCAAGTTTGGCTTAGACCATATGGAAGTACTTTGCATGCATGAACGTGCCAAAGACTGTCCCACTGCAGTTCTCACATTGGAGACGCCTAGTAATGTTGTATAGCATGTCATGGAAGTGGTTAAGAACTTGCCAGAGCCTGGAAAGAGGAAGCCCCTTCAAATATACCACCTTAACATAATATAACCCTAGAAGGAATGTGAGGCTCTTAGCCTACAGTAATACTGTCACTAGGGGAAAGTATATTAGAGGATGGGATGTCAGAGACCCTGTCTCCTATTCAAATTCAGGAGGTGAGGTCCTTGCAGACAAAAGAAGAGTAGTGTTTCAAAATGACCTGGCTGAGCTAATGTAAGTTACCATGATTTTGGGACTGTGCATCACATCAAAATACATGTAAAATGTTATGGGGTACCTGAGCCTTAGAGAAAAGTAATTTCAGAAGATGTACCGAAAATGTTGGCAGGGACCTAGCAAGGGATTGCTGTTGGATTGTAATGTAACCATTGTATGTTAGAAAAATGTGCTCCTTCCCACAGGTGTGAGCAGGGGGAGGGTATGTGGGACACTGGCTGGCAGGATTGTGGACAGTTTATATGTGTCACCTAAGTTTCTCACCTACACATAGTGAGGGGCTCCAGGATTTGTATCTGTTATAGGAAAAAGTCCTAGTCCAGGTCCTGGAGCCTAGAGGCATTGTAAAGTTATGGGTGGAATAAAGCCTCCAGTCTTAGGTCCATGTTTTACCTGCTAGCCAGACCTCAACAGTTAGTCAGCTGTGATGTATATGTGTATATAATATATGCGTGTGTGCATATATACAGTACTGTGCAGAAGTTTTAGGTTGGTGTAAGAATGCTTTCAGAAATAGAAATGTTAGTAGTTTATTTTTATCAAATAACAAAATGGAAGGTAAATGAACAGAAGAGGACTCTGTGTACCTGCCCTGGTGAAGCGAATACAGGAAGGTATAGCAAGACCTCAACACCATCTTGTCCTGATGCAAAAATAAACAAGGGGTCGGCACTTTCACAGTGCAGAGAGAAGGGCAGGCCGCAGCAGCAAAAAAGTTAAGTGTAGAATCCTATAGCCTTTGGTTGCCTGCCCTTCCTCAAATCAGGACATTTGGAGATGAAACAAATTAGAGATTCAGTTTGGATCATGACATTAGCTGTTATTAGCTGTGTTCTTTTTGTAGCTAATATATACAATTTATTGCACATTATATCAATTACATAATTGCAAAAATGTTTATACTTATAATATAAGTTTATTTACGTTTTTAATTGTTTTCCTTTTAAGACCATCCCTGCCCTCATGAAATAAACACAGTAATCCTTTTATAAAAACAAGTCCTGGAAATGTAAAGAAAAAAATGTTGTAGGACTAAAGACCACCTTATCTCTACGCAAAAATAACAATGTCTATATGTACACTTAACACCTAAGTGTTATGTCGCTTATAGCTTTGGCAGAATCAAGTGTTTTTGGCTCCATGGACTTTAATGGACGCACCTCAAAAAATGGCAAAATAATTTGTGTATTTTGTATCTAGCAACCACCTCCTCCATCTAGTAACTAGCTTTCCATTGGCTAAAAAAAGTTCAAGCCTGAAAACGTCAGAAAACGCACAGAAAAGGGCAAACACAAAGTTTCAAAATCACAAACGCTCACACTCAAGTGTGAATCAGGGCTCAAAGTACATTTTACAGAGGAGTAAAGTTGTATAGCAGTTTAATTTAAATACTTTGACTGCAATTTTAAATGTACATGAACTAAAAGCTGCCAAATAAATAATTCTCCCCTGATGATGCACACTTAATTCAAGCATTATTTTATGTAGCTTCACCTTACATAACAAGGCCATTTTTTCAGAATTGCAAACAGGCAAACGTTGTCGTTGTGGAACTTGTGGTATCTCTCAGGAAGTTCTTTAGAGGTGTCTGTTACAGTTGAAGTATATTGTTTGCTTTAAAGGTTTTTTTCAGCATTCATTTATGTATAAACAATGGTTACTGCCATAAAGTATTTCCTGTATCTTATTAGGTGCTCAGTTTTTTGTGATTTTAAAGTTCTGAAAAATGATGTGCTTATAAATATCGATGCTGCTGGCAACAATTTAGATTTTTGAAAAGTATTGAAATGTATTCTTTGCTATAGCTTCTTTGCTATTCCTCTTATGAGGCTGTCACACAGACCAAAACTTTTGATAGAGAGCTCTTATGGGGGTTTGGAATCTTTAAGATGCATCAGAGCATCAGTTTAGAGCCTGTACTACACAAATTCCTAGCTGTAGTTTTGGCAGATCCTATATTTGTACTAGGGATGTTCAGATACCAAGTACTGTACTCGGGAACAAGTACAAAAACGTTTCCAGCTCCAAGACTAGACTAGAGAAAAATTCAAAAGTTAGGAGGCAGCTGTCATTTTTAAGGAGCACACAGAGCTCCTGGGATTTGTACATCTCTGTTTTCTTGTATGATTTTTTTTAAATAAATATATATTAGGGATGCACCAATACCATTTTTCCAAGTTCAAGTACTGATGCTTGTCCAAGTACTCACAGATACAAGTACTGATACATTTTTGTTTATTGTCATGTGACAGTTGTTCTAAAACAATACACACTAATGATTTCAGGACAGTGGTGGAGCACCAGGGCCCGGTCCCAGCTGCAACCTCTGCAACCCTGATAGTTCTCATGAAAATGGCAAGTATCGGCACTGGTATCTGGACATCCCTAATTTGTACTGTAGAGAAAGGCCCGCAGCAACTCCTTTTAAGGCAGGAGAGTCAAAATGGTGAGCTCTTTTGGCCATAGGGGAACTTGAATTTTCAAACATTGCATTTGTTAGGTAGTAATCAAGCTCATGCCAGCAGCAACAAGGCAGTGTTGGGTGCTCATGCATCAGGATGGAGCGTCACTGTGGACAGGCATCTTTTATTTAGTATCATCCCAACTGGATTATGTGGATGGCCTGCTCTATAAATGTTGTCTTTGAATGCTGTCCCCAGGTCGGGTTTCTGGAGGCTAGCCCTATAAACATGTATGAGTATGATAAATTGAATTGTCCTGCAATTACACTAAAAATGTAGCCTAAAAATGATGCAATGGTGCATCCCATATAGTAGCATTATAGAACTTGCTAATTGTATTTAATATTTTATTTTTGGATAGAGTGGAGAGAGATTAAATAACCTGTCAGGTTTTTATTGCTACTGGAGCGTAGGTAAAAATTGGTACAGACTGTATTTTTTTTGACCAGGTTGTTAGTTCATTGCAGCACAGAATCTTTTAGCAGATGGTTTAAGTTCATGTGTTCTAGGCTTTCATGGAAAAAGTCTATAGTGAGGAAACGCGTCTAGAAGAGGGGTTTGAGCATGCACCTGAAGGAGGCTCTGTAGTCTGGTATTGCAATCTCTGTGTACTCGGGTCAGGTGTTCTCTCTCTACTTTTCCCTGAGAGCTCCCAGTGTTAAGGTGCCCATACACCTGACGATTTATCGTACGATAATCACGGTTGATCCAGCGATCGTACGATAATCGGCAGGTGTATGGGCAGCGTGCGACCGCATTTTAGTGTACGGTCACACGACTTTCGTCCTACGAGCAAGCTAGAAAACCTGCCGAAAATCTAAGATTCGGGGGGTTGGTAGCGCGATCGCAAGACAAAAGCCGCACGGGCCCCTCCCCTCAGCGGTGCGAGCTTGCGATGATCGCAAGTACGATTTGCCTGTCCAAGATGGGCAGGTCGTACGAAATTTTAATCACCTTACAACCATCGCACAACTAAAGTCGTGCGATGGTTGTAAGGTGTATGGGCAGCTTTAGTGTAGGAATATGTGGTGTTAGGCCAGAGTCAGGAACAGAGGCCTCAGATATTTGTATCACTGGTGCAGGTGATTGCGCCACA